GCAGGAATTTGGAACTTGAAAGAGATTGAGGTGGGCAACAGAGCCACTGTCCCAGGGGAGAATAGGCAAGAGAAAGCATCTAGAGCTGCCCGAGGGCAGGTGGGGCAGGGGCCTGCAGGGCTCATTCTGCCATTTTCTGGCCAGGAGCGAAAGCTGTGTGCCCACCCTCGACTGGAGATCTACCAGCAAGACCAGATCCACTTCATGTGCCCACTGGCACGGCAGGGAGACTTCTACGTGCCAGAGGTGAAGGAGACAGACCGGAGAGGCCGGGAGCTCGTGGAGACCAGTAACGCCCACGTGGAAGGCACAGGTGTGGAAGGTGAGGGACGGGACCTGCTTGGAGCCCCTCTGTCTGGGGTGGCACTATGGGTATGAGACTACACGTGAGGGAGGAAGCAGACTCTCCTGCCTGCTCCAGGATCTGCGTGCAGAGTTGTTTGCAGACACGGATTCACGTAGGTGTAGACTCACACTGCCCCCGACAACACAAAGACCCTGCCTCAATCTCTTCAGTTGCAGCAGGAGTACCCTGGGAGGCTGGTGGGAGGGTTGGGGCTCCTCCGAAAAGAGCCATGGGTGGGGCGGACTGGGGAGTGAGATTGGCACTCCATCTTCAAGGTAAGGAGGGAGACAGGGTGTTGTCCGGCCCCCATCCAGCCGCTTTCCCCACCAGAGGTCAACCAGGGAGCATGCCAGAGGAGTCCGACAGTTTCTCGCCCCAGGCCCAGGCCATCGGCCTGCTTGCCTGCTCAGCCCAGCCTTTCTTGTGACCCAGGTCCACCCCTAGGGACAAGAGGGCCTGCTGGTGACATCCCAGGTGGTCCAACAGCTCGATCCTTCCTGGTGGAGCCTGCATGACTCTGGAAGTCCATGACTTCTGGGGTGGTGCAGGGTTGTGGGGGCAGGGACTGTCCCTCTTCTGTGGGAGACTATCCATCCAGTCCTCAGCAGCCAAGGTCACCCTAAAGAGACGTGTTGGCAGGGGCTGGGGGAGGGTACTGGGAGACAGACTGTACTCCCTAGGGGCCTGTGTCCAACACAGTTAACTTCATCTGCCACTTAATTACCTCCATGGGGTGCTGCTCCCTGGTGGTGCCCGGCAGACACTCTTCAGTGCCCCTCCTGTGGGTACAGGACGAGGCACAAGGGCAGCAGGCCCAGGCAGCCCCCAGGGCAGGAAGGAGGGGCACCTTGCCCTTCCTGCAACCTCCCTCTTCTTGCCTCCCTTCTCCTGGGCCCAGCCAGCCAGCTTCCTTCCCTCCCAAACACCGCCTGCCGGGCGGTTGAAGGACCGCTTGGCACCTGCTACAGCTGGCTGCAGCCACAGATCCCAACCCCCGTGCCTCGGCCTGTCCTCCTCCCTACCAGCCTGCCCGCCCATTCCCTGGTGTGGGGGCCGGGGTCTGCCCACCTCTGACAGGGCCTGTCTTGACACTAAGCGGACTCTGGGTGTCTGCCCACCAGGTGCCTGCCATTTACACAGCAGTGCCTGGTGGCTGCATGGTGGGAGCCTGGCTGCCCAAGGCTTGGCCTGTCCCTGCCTGCCTCCCTGCTGGGCCTGGCTTGGGCTGGGAGGTGAAGGGGGCGATTAGCTGCCTTGTCCGTGTTATTACATTGATGTATTATTTAGCTCCCGAGAGGCAATGAATATTTGATCTCCTTGCACTGGCTATGGGCAGAGGGGGTGGGAGGGACCAGGGTGAAGGTGGCAGCTCACATCCCCTGCCCCAGCCCTGGAGATTGAGGTGCTGCCTTGCCTGCCGGGTGTTCATTCCCCAGGGAAGCAGGCTCAGACTCTGGACCTCCTCCTGCAGAGACCTAGTGAGCTGTCTCGATTCCACTCGCCTGCCTCAGGTTCCTGTGCCAGAAGTGTCCGTGTTTCCCCCGGGGCTGTCATTACCCCAGCATGTGAGCCCAGCCTGAGGAGATGCCTGGGCCTCCTAGCCCAGGAGCTGCAAAGGAGGATATGGCTGGGTGGGAGCAGGGGTTCCTGTACTTGGGCTCTTGGCGGAGCCCTTAGGAGGGTGGGCAGTTTAACGGGGCAGAACTGAGTCTTCCCTGTCCTTTGCATCTTTCAGGCCTTTAGCCTCCGGGGCTGTGCTCATCATTGAGCAGTGGGGCTGGAGTCCTGCCCCACTACACAGGGAGCCACCTGTCACTCAACCCAGCTGGGGCTCACGTTCCACCCTACTCTCATTCCTCCACCCTGGGAACCATCCTGGCTCTCTTAGGGCTCACCTCACCTCTGCAGGCCCAGAAAGCATCTCCTGGGGGTTGAGTACATTGTGGGGGCAGAACCCAAACCTCCCACCCTCAACCTAGGCCCCAGCTATGGCTCAAGGAATGCTCCAGGTCTAGTCCAAGTAGCAAGCCCTCCCCAGCTTTGGCCCATGTGGCTTCCTGCACGCAATAGGCCCAAGTGCTCTTCCTTGCTACCCCTCCCCACCCCACTGCAGTCCGTGCTTCTGATCCAGGGAGATGAACCCAGGGCTTGCTCCTGGACCCTGAGGGTTGCTTGCTTGGAGGGCATCCTGGGGACAGGAGGAGCTGGCCAGGAGAGGTCTGAGCTGTCGGCCCAGCTCAGCACTGCCCCGTGGCTCCCCAGTCTCCAGCAGACTGCTGGGGTCCCTTCTGCTGTGGCTCAGAAAGCACTAGCGGTTGGAGCCGGGGTTGGTGGGGAAGGGCTCCTCTGGTTCTATCCGGGCCTAAGAGGCAAAAGCCCTTAAAGTGCCCCAACATTCTCCCTCATTGCAACTGGCATTTCTCAGACATCTCCATCCTACTCCTGCCTCAGCCCCCTCCTCTAGAGGGGACCCAGCGTGGCCAGAGGCGGGGGCCAGCTGACTTCCTGGGGACCTGTTGCAGGTACCTGGATGCAGCTGCTCCTTGCTGAGGCCTGCGTGGGGTGGGGGCAGGGTTGAGTAACCTCCTAGTCCAGTCCTCGGTTCCCATGCCTTAGGGGAGGGACCCTCAGGGTCTCTTTGTTCTGTTTCAGCTCCTCACCACAGGGCCCAGTGGCCCTTAATGGATGTAGGGGGCAGTGCAGTGGGAGTGAGGTTAATTCAGGGTAGGGAGAGCATGCACAGCCAGCTGCTGTCCCCTCCCCTCCCCTCTGTCCTGTCAGCGCAGTCCCAGTCAGGGCAGGGGGCAGAGGGCAGCTGGAACGAGCCCCCTGAGCCAGGAGTGTCTGTATTATTCATGAGTGGACTCCGTGCCGGGGTGCTGAGCTGGTGGTAAGCCTATGCCCTCTCCCTGGAAGAAGTGGTGGGGGCAGTCCTAGCTAACTAGTGCTCCCTTTTCCTGGCCACAGGAGCCGAGGGGATGAGTGACACGAGTTCTGTAAGCCTGGAAGTGAGCCCCGGCAGCCGGGAGACTTCAGCCGCCACGCTGTCGCCTGGGGTCAGCAGCCGTGGCTGGGACGATGGCGACACCCGCAGCGAGCACAGCTACAGCGAGTCAGGCGCCAGCGGCTCGTCTTTTGAGGAGCTGGACCTGGACGGCGAAGGGCCCTTGGGACCCACAGCTGGCCCCTGAGGCTGAGCCCTTGGGGGCCACCAAGTGGCCCCGGGAGCCCAGTACCCCCAGAGGGGCGAGGAGTACCTTGCGTCCACACCGCCCAGTGGTGCGTTGCCAAGGAGCCCAGCAGACTCTCCAGACCTCTTCCTCCTCCACCTCCCGGGCCCCAGGCCAGGGCTGCCTGAGGGACCCGACTCCCCGCTAGGCCTCTAGCTAGCAAAGGCTTCTCCTCACTGCCCTTTCCGTTCCCAGAGCTGGTGGATCCAGGGATGGTTTTCCGCATCAGCCCCCAGGGCTGCTGCCCCGGTTGTATCTTTTTTCCAGACTCTCATCGGAGCTTCCAGGGCCCAGAATAAAGCAAATTATTTTCTTGTCTCACCTGGATTTGGGCTTCGTTTGTTCGGCCCACCCTGGGAAGCCCTGAGCAGATAGGTCGGCGGGAATGGGCAGAAGCCCCCCAGCACAGTAAAGAACGTGGACAGGTACCCTGGGGCGGGGGAGGAGGGGTGTTGGAGGCCCTCCACTCCCTGCTCTGAGACCCGTGTCCAGCCGCCTCTTCATGGCAGCAGGGTGTGAGCCAAGCCTGGGGTGCCGTCCAGGGACCAGGAGCTGGGAGTTCGCAGCCTGCCTTCATCTTCTGTGGGATGCCCGTGCTGGGAGGTCCCAGCAGGTGAGGACATCCCTGCTGTGCCTGCGGTGGCTGTGTACCTGTGTGGCACATGCATAAACGCACATGCTTTCGATTCTGTGTAACCACGGGTGGGGGCGTTCCCAGGTGAGGCCGTGTTCAAGTCAGTGTCAGGATGTGGTGGTGCCTGGGCATGGGCGTGTTTGTAAGCGTGCTGTGATTTGTGTGTAACTCTGTGTGGTTGTGTAGGGCATGTGAGGCTGGCTGGCTAGGAGAATCTCTGGGGACTTTGTCCATATTCAGCCGTGTATGCGTGCACTGCTCTGTGTGACTGTGTGTTTGTGGTTTTGTGTGAAGCTGCATTTGGCTGTGTCCACACAGAAAGCTATGGGTGTGTGCAGCTGTGGGTCCATGATCACAACCGTGTGTGTGTGTGTGCACGTGTCTGTGTGTAGCCTGTTCACCTGTACTTTAGGGGTGTCCCCATGTGTATTCTGACTGTCTACATGTCCAGCTGTGTGTGTAAGACTGAACGTATGTCCTCATCTGTGTGCACAGCTGGGAGTGGTGGCCGCAAGCCATGAGTAACCGCGTGTCCGAGGACCACAGGCCATGTCACAGGCTTCTGGCTGGCACTGGCAGAGCCGTGTCTGTGTGAAGCTGGCTTTGTGAGCTGCCTAGATGAGTGGGCTGAGTGGCTGGGCTCACTGCCGTCCCTCTCACCTCAGCACCCTCCTGCTGTCAGCTCCTCTGCTCAGGGGCCCGGCCATGCTTGCCTGCTCCAGGAGGCAGCTGGAGAGGGTGAGAGCAGCTGGTGGCAAAGCCAGGGCTGGAAGACAGCATGTCTGTCTGACGGCTCTGAACCCTCATCCTGCTGCCACTTCGTCTCCCATTAGCGATCGGGTTTGTTTGTTTGGGTTTGATGTGTCTGTTTTCTTTCAAAGCTGTATTCTTTTCAGAGCAGTGGGGCATCGGGTTTCTGTGTCCAGGGAAAAAGCCTGTCCTTGGTGATCCCTCCCCCACCACAACCGCACACAATGTGGGTGTGCATACCCAAGGGGCCTGTGCTTGGCATGTCCCTTAGCACATGTCTGAGCTGGCCCTACTTCTGGGACACCTGCCCCCCACGCTGGTCAGTGTGTGTGCATTTTGGAGCAGAGAGCCCAGGCTCTGGGGCTAGATGTGGGTGCATGCCCTCTCCCCAAATCCTCCAGCACCGCCTGACCCTGCAGCTCAACTCCCACCCCTACCCAGGGGCGCCCTTCCCCAGCCTGCTGCGGGAGGGAAGTCAGGAGCGTCTTCTCAGAGCTGTCCTCCCTGTTGGGCTCCAGCTCTCCGCTCCCTCCTACGCAGCAGCCAGTTGCAGGAACCTTGTCCCTCCACTCCCCTGCTGGATCCCTTACCAGCCCAGCATGCCCCTCAGGGTTGACCCTAGTCTCTGGTCCCCCATCCCCCACAGGCCCTGTATCTGCCCTAAATACCTATGGGGCGAGGATTAGTGGGGGACGGGTAGCAGCTCTAAAGGCCATCTGCAGGAAGGAAGAGGAGGCCCTGTCCTCTGACCTCCCCCAAATCTTTCCTCCTAGTGACTCAGACCCCATTTCCCACATGGGGCTGAAAACATGTGCCCCACCCCGAGCCTAGCATGTGGACTGGCCTGCCGTGGCTGGGTGGGAGGATGGGTGGAGGACGGAGACAGATTTGCAGCAGCATTCTAAGCATTACACCCACTCTCAGGTGCCCCTCTACCTCCCCCAGCTGCACCCCTGAGACCCTAGGACCAGCTCCAATGCCTTTGCAGATAGGAAGCCAGAGCACCGTGCATCTCGGAGCTCAGTGACCTTCCCATCCCGGTGCCCTGTTCCCGCCGCTCTGTGGGACGCAGACAGACTGCGGGCGGCAGGGTCCGCGAGGCACCTGCTCAGTGCTGAGCGGGAGCGCCTGGGGATTCAGCACCACGCGGTGGACAGCTCCAGGCGCCGGGTCGGTGAAGAGCACGAGCCGCCGGAGGCTCAGAGCGAAGAGCTGTGGAAGGGTCTGGAGGGAGGCGGAGGCCCGGCTGGGAGCGGGAGACCCCGCTCCACTCCGATTCTCCGCGCCAGAGCCGGGCGCGCCAGGTAGGGTGAGCCTGTGGTGCCGTGGCCGCTGCCGACCTCTTTGGTCCTGACCCCACATCCTGGACCCCGGGGACCCTGGAGCTCTGGGAGCCCTAGCCGGGTCGCCCAGACGGCGCTCTCTAGGAGCTCCTGGAAGAGGGAAGACGGCCTCGGGCGTCCCGCCTTCCTTCCCTAGAAAACGCATGCTCTGCATCGCGCTCCCATTCCTCCTGCTCCAGCGTCCTCTGGTCCTTCTTTCTGTCTGTGCCTCCGTCTTTGTCTCCTCCTCTCAGGCTTGCTCGCTCCCTGTCCAGATTTTGTGGCCCAAGCCCCTTGGCTGTCCCACTCCGGGTTCCTGAGTCCTTCCCTGGCTCCAGGCTTCCCTCCGGGTCTCCGCAGTGGGAGGTCTGTGCTTTTGGTCAGCTTTGGCCTCAGCCCCCATCGGGGCTGCTGTCCTGGGCTGCGCTGGTCTTCATCCCTGCTTCTCTCCTGTGTCTGGCTGACGCTTCTTTTGGAGTCCCCACTGAAGCCCAGCCCCCTACCCTGGACCATGCAGGGAATTATCCCTGGAGAGCCAGGAGGGCAAAGCCAGGAGCCCCAGTCTCTGTGGCCAGGACACGGGCTCTGTGAACTAGTTGCTGCCTTCCTCCAGCCTCAGTTTCTTTTCCTGTTTGGAGGAAAGATGCATACCCTCCGCCCAGCCTTTCCACGCCTGTGTGATTGTAAGAGCCTGAGTGGAGTGGGCGTTCAGGAAGGTAACTGCACTTCAGACGATAGAGAGCAGAATAGGAGAGGGAGGGAGGGGGTCTCCGGCATCCAGGGCCAGAGTGGCTGAACCCTGAGGCTGAGGATGGGGACGCTGGAAATGGTGGCTTTTCCTGCTAGGTTCCAAGTGGAGGGAAGACAGAGACTCAAAGACTCAAATAGCATCCTACGCAGAGCATCACCCCAGCACTGGTGGGAGATTCTGGCTGGGCAGACCCCTCACCCTGACATGCACGCATTCGCATCTCCTTGCCCTGCTGACTTAGGACCTGTGGTCACCATGGTACTGTCCCTGGGGCCAGCCTCTCCACCTGTCTCACCCCCATTGCCTTCATTCCCTCCTCGGCCAGGAGACTGGTTCTTTTAAAGAACCAGAGGCTAGGACCCTTGGTGTTCACCTGGCCCCCACTTTCCCAGGGAGTGAGACCATCCCTTAACGACTCTCCCCTCCATCTTCCCTGGTGGGTCCCCTAGTCCAGAGCTTCCTCTGGAAATCCAGGGCTTAGGCTGAAGACTGAGCCTCCGAATCTGCAGCCCTGATACGGCCTCTGCTGCAAAAGTGCTGACCTCGGGGCCTGCGACATCTGCAGGTGTGGACACCCTGGGATGTACAGAAGGCGTGTTGTTAGCTGGGGCTCCTGTCCTCTGCCGGGCCTCCACTCCCTCCTGCCTCCCTGCCCAATTTGGTAGGGGCACAAGGCCCACCTCCTGCCAGAGCAGGGCTGAGAGACAGCCTCAGAGAGTGTCCCAGCCTAGTCGGCATCACACACTTTCTCGCTCCAGAGTGCCTGGCGAGGGTTCTGTGGCAGGAGATATACTCCCCTCCTGGCCTTCCCACATGTGTGTGGGGGTGGAGTCAGAGGGCAGCCCCTCCCAGTTCCTCTTCTCTCGGTTTGTCTGTCCGGTCTCTCTATCTCTCTGCAGGAGCTGGGTCCCTTCTCATCTCTCTTCCTGTCTGTCCTTTCTTGGTCCCTGTCGCCTCCTCTCTTTGCCTTTGCTGCTTCTACCCTCATCCTCTGGAGGCCCAGGTTCGCTGGACCCATCCATCCCCTCTGGGGCCATGGGATCGCTGCTTGGGCTCCTGGCACTGCTGCTGTGGGGGGCTGTGGCTGAGAACCCAGCCAAGAAGGTGCTGACCCTGGAGGGGGACCTGGTGCTGGGTGGTTTGTTCCCGGTGCACCAGAAGGGCGGCCCCGCGGAGGACTGCGGTCCCATCAACGAGCACCGCGGCATCCAGCGTCTGGAGGCCATGCTTTTCGCCCTGGACCGCATCAACCAGGACCCGCACCTGCTGCCTGGCGTGCGCCTGGGCGCGCACATCCTCGACAGCTGCTCCAAGGACACACACGCCCTGGAGCAGGCGCTGGACTTCGTGCGGGCCTCGCTTAGCCGCGGCGCCGACGGCTCACGCCACATCTGCCCCGATGGTTCTTACGCCACCCACGGCGATGCTCCCACCGCTGTCACTGGTGTCATTGGCGGCTCCTACAGTGACGTCTCCATCCAGGTACACAGGGACTGCCCAGACAGGGGCTGGGGCGGGAGGCTGGACGTGGTGACCCACGATTCCCGCTGAGCAGGGGCTGCCCAGCTGCCATACTTTGGAAAGAGCTCTGGAAGCTTCTTTCTAGTTCCTTTTTGCAGAAGACTATGAAAATGGTCGTGTCACCTACTAGGAGTCGCTCTTTAGAGATTGTGCAAGAGAAATGGCCCCCTCCCACTGTGCACCTGCAGACACACATGCACACACACACACACCACGCATACAGCCCTGACAGTAAACACCCTGAGAGGCTAAATAACCAGACCTTTGGACTCAGACCTCTGGGTTTGAGTTCTGGTACCCCCTCTTATTAACTTCGTGGTCCTGGGCAAGTTACTCTCTTTTGTATGTCTTAGTTTCCTTATAAAGTGGGATTTATCACACTCTCTAATTTAAGCCAAAGTTTAGAAGGTGGTAGAGGCTGGCGAGTCATAAAGTTACCATCAATATTAGCTGCTATTGGGACCAACAGATGGCGTAATGGTTACTTCATTGGACTCCCACGTAGTCGACTATGGTTCAAGTCCTAGACCTGGCAGTTTAAACTCACGTCAGGCACACGTGCATACATACCCCAAATCCCGAGGTGAGAATGGAAAAGAAGGGATTGCAGTGTGGCCATCTCCCCAAGAGGTGATTTCTTGCTTTCTGTCCCTCTGGAGAGTGCATGCGCCCTATAGCAAAAAACTCTTTAAAAAAAATAGCTGCTACTTCGGTTAACCCATTTCATAGGTAAGCCAACTGAGGCTTGGCACGGAGCAGGCAAGTTGGCACAAGTCAAGGCAGTGGCCAAGGGGTGGTATGAAATAAGGGCTCTCGGCCAAGGGTCTCCAGGTTGTCCCTAGATTGGAGAAGAGGAGAACAGATGGAAGCCAGTTGTGGCCAGAGAAGAAAAACAGGGTGGGGGACCCAGGAGGAAGAGGAGCAAAATGTAGGTGGTGGTCGTTAGGGGATGCAGGATATGAAGGGTGAGAGGGTGAGGGAATCGACCTCCTCCCCACTCCCTGCAAGGTGTCCACAGAAGGCACCCCTGCTCAGCTCCAGCAGAAGGTGCCAACCTGGTGACCTCCCTTAGCTGCTCCCAGGCTGTACCATGGGATCGCCTGACTGCTTGGCCCTGCTGGGATCTTCCCCTCCTTGCCCCTTCTTCCCCCCTACCCTGATCCCCTCCTGCTGGGCACCCAGTGCGAACAGCTGGAAGATGAGGCCAGACTCGGATCAGGGCTGGGGAATACGAGGGGGCTTCTGAGATCATGCCCAGTTTCCTTCAGACAGCAGGCTGAGGGCACTGACTCGGGGCAGGGCCAGGCTCTACCGGCATGCACACTGGGGAGAAATGAAGCAGAAGCAGGAAACAGAAGCTGCCAGTCAGCCTCTGGCCGGGGTGCGGGAGGCCACTGCGGGGAGTGGACATCTGCGAGGCCCTGCCACGAGAGGTGCCGGGCACCAGTTGGACTAGCAGTTCTGCCAGTACCTACCTCTGCTCCCTGGCTGGGACGGGGTTGGGCAACCTCCTACCTGCAATGCCTTCAAGGGCCCCGGGGTGCTTTCCCGGCACCGTCCCATCCACAGTTCTCTTTGAGGCCCCGTCCACGCAGTCACTTCCTCCCATCCCCAGTGTCCTGCCTCCTGTGGCAGAGTCCACGACACAGCGTCAGTTTGTCTCTCCGCACCATGGTTGACACAAGGCCCAGTCCTTCGCGCTTAGACCATGCCCCTTAATCATCTCCCCTCACTCCCGCGCCGTCTCTTTCGCCCAGATCCCCACCATCTTCCGCATGGCAGGCCCTGTGGCTTCCTAGGCATAATCATTTCTGTCCATCCAGCGGTCTTTTTTTTTTTTTTTCTCCTTTTTTTCAGTTTGCTATAGGGCACGTGCACTCCCCAGAGAGAGAAGGAAAGTAAGGAATTACTACCTGGGGGGAGGGGCACATCTCGGTTCCCTTCTCTGGTCTCTCCTCGGGATTTTGGACACGTACGCACACATACATGCCTCGTGTGTTTTTCAAGCCACTGAGTCCAGGACTCAAATCACACAATTGACCATGTAGGGTTCAGCCACCTTAATCTCCACACCACCTGCTGGTCCCAGCAACCTTGTAAGGCAGGGAAGAAAAACAGCCTCAGAGAGATTTGCTGCCTCTAGGGGCACAGGAGGGCCTAGAAAGCTCAGGAAGCAGCAGTGAGCCCTGAGTCAGAGCCCAGGACCCAGATGCAGTTCAGGACTTAGCCCCTCCTGGACCCCGAGCCGTGCCAGCTTTCACCCACCCTCCATCTCCCGGGTCCTACGGTGGGAGACGGGGTGCCAGACAGGCAGTGGTAGAGCAGGGGGCTTGGTTAACTTCAGGCTCAGACAGCCATGGACACCCAGCCTTGGGCTGCCAGGGCCTCGGGCCCCTCAGTGTGGTGGCCAGCAGCGAGGGGGCTACTGAGGGCACTGTCACCATTGTGCTGGCCTTCTGCCCCATCGGTGACTTTGCCTGCTACTCCAGGGCCTGGACCCCTGGGTCTTTCTTCCTGGGCAGGCTTTTCCTTCATTCTCTATAATCCATTAGGATCAACCCTGGGGAACCAAGGTTGCCCTCAACCAAGTAGAGCTCAAGAGCCCTGAGCATCCCAATGCCATCCAGCGCCTCCCTCTACCCTCGAGCAGCCAAGTGCCAGCCTCCCCCCACCCCAGGCTTCCCCTTGTCTCCCCTGCTGTGCATCTGGAGAGAGACAGCAGGAGGGCCGTAGGAGGACCCTGGGCTCAAGACCTGAGCTCAGCCTCACGTCTCTCTCCCAGACCTTGGGAAGAGAAGAAAATGCCTACCCTGGAGAAGACATCAGGTCAGGATGGAGGCCTTTTTATTTTTATTTTTTTATTTAAAAGAAAAAATTGGGGGGGAACAGCAGGTGGGATGGAAGTTAAGGTGACTGGATCCCACATGGTCAACTACACGATTCAAGTCCTGGACCCAGTAGCTTGAAAATCATGGTGGACACATGTGTCACAGACAGAGAAGGACCCTCAACCGGGTCTTGAATGCCACACCTCCCTTCCTCAGCCCTGCAGCTCCTCAGGTCACCCTGGGTGCCCGCACACAGGTGCTCGGCGTGTTTTCAGGCAGAGCCGGGGCCCCTGATGTGGTCGCCATTAACTTACAGCCCTGCCATCCAGAGCTAGGGCTACACCACCAGGCTGGGCCACGGCAGGCCTCTGGAAGGGGGGAGGCCTCGAGGTTGACCCTGTGGACACTCAACCCCACGTTCTGCCGGCTGTGGGGAAGCCTCTGTGTAGCCTCCGACCCAGTCTCTGGCTTGTGCCCTCCCGCAGGTGGCCAACCTGCTGCGGCTGTTCCAGATCCCCCAGATCAGCTACGCGTCCACCAGTGCCAAGCTGAGCGACAAGTCCCGTTACGACTACTTCGCCCGGACGGTGCCCCCTGACTTCTTCCAAGCCAAAGCCATGGCTGAAATTCTCCGCTTCTTCAACTGGACCTATGTGTCCACCGTGGCGTCCGAGGGCGACTATGGCGAGACAGGCATCGAGGCCTTCGAGCTGGAGGCCCGTGCCCGCAACATCTGCGTGGCCACCTCGGAGAAGGTGGGGCGTGCCATGAGCCACGCCGCCTTTGAGGGCGTGGTGCGAGCCCTGCTGCAGAAGCCCAGCGCCCGCGTGGCCGTCCTGTTCACCCGCTCCGAGGATGCCCGCGAGCTGCTCGCCGCCTCTCAGCGCCTCAACGCCAGCTTCATCTGGGTGGCCAGCGATGGCTGGGGGGCCCTGGAGAGTGTGGTGGCCGGCAGTGAGGGGGCAGCTGAAGGCGCCATCACCATCGAGCTGGCCTCCTACCCCATCGGTGACTTCGCCTCCTACTTCCAGAGCCTGGACCCCTGGAACAACAGCCGCAACCCCTGGTTCCGTGAGTTCTGGGAGCAGAGGTTCCGCTGCAGCTTCCGGCAGCGAGACTGTGCAGCCCACTCTCTGCGGGCCGTGCCTTTTGAGCAGGAGTCCAAGATCATGTTTGTGGTCAACGCCGTGTACGCCATGGCCCACGCGCTGCACGACATGCGCCGCGCCCTCTGCCCCAACACCACTCGCCTCTGCGACGCCATGCGGCCTGTCAACGGGCGCCGCCTCTACAAGGACTTCGTGCTCAATGTCAAGTTCGATGGTAACGGTGCTGGCCCGAGCCGGCCGGCGGGAGGACGAGGGCAGCAGGCCTTCAGGTTCTGTTACTCAGCTGAGAAGTATAGCACACAGCACAAGTGGAAGACACCCGGAGGGCGTGCCAGGGCCAGGGCAGGATGGCGAGGCAGAAGGGCCACTGGTGGGCACCAGCTGAGGGCTGAGACCCTTCCAGAGAGCAGGCCTTGGTTCCTCCGGCCACCTGAGGGTCTCTGGCTCCTGCCTGGGACTTGCCCTGTAACTCTTGTCTCTTTATCTTGTTGGGGGTAGAGACCAGGGAACCTCAAGTCCATCTCAGGCAGCCAGAGTCAGAGTCTGGGTGGGTCGAGGCTGAGCATCAGAACAGCATTATATTCAGAGAAAACTTTATTCTTTCTTTTTTTTTTTTAAAGAATTATTTTATCTTTATTTATTTTATTTTTCAATTTGACCAGAGAGGAACAGAGAGAGAGAAAGCAAGCAAGCCAGCCGCCAGATCTGGGACTCAAACCACAGTCAACCATGTGGGAGTCCAGAGCCCTTAACTGCCACGCCATCTGCCAGCCCCTCTTTATTTTTGGAGAGGTTTTTGCTATAGGTTGCATGCACTCACCAGAGAGACAGAGACAGAGAGACAGAAAGCAAGAAATTGCCTCCAAGGGGGGATGGCCACGCCAAAATCCTTTCTCCTCCATTCTCCCCTCAGGATCTTGGGCATGAGCTTAAGCCACTGGGACTCAAACCATGCTCAACTACATGGGAGTCCCGTGACATAGCCATTATGCCAACTGCTGGTCCTGTTCTTTTTTTTTAGAGACATTTCTTGCATTCTGTCTCTCTGTCTCCCTCTGTCTCTCTAGCGAGCGCACATGCATGACAGAATGCAAGAAATTACCCCTCAGGCGATAGCTGTGCCACAATCCCTTCCCTCTATTCTCCTCTTGGGATTTTGGGCACACACACACATGTGCCCAGCATGAGTTTTAAGCCTCTGGGTCCAGGACTCAAACCGTGGTCAACTATGTGGGAGTCCAGTGGCATAACCATTAGGCCATCCATTGGTCCCGAATATGTCTATTCTTTTTTCTTTTTTTCCTATTTTTTGGAGAGGTTTTTTCTTATTGGGCACATGCACTCGCCAGAAAGACAGAGAGATACAGAGAGATAGAAAGCGAGAAATCACCCCCCAGAGGGGATGGCCACACCGCAATCCCTTCTCCTCCATTCTCCTCTCGGGATCTTGGGCATGCACGCCCGGCATGAGTTTAAGCTACTGGGTCCGGAACTCGAACTGCGGTCAACTACATGAGAGTCCAGTGACATAGCCATTGCGTTAACTGCTGGTCCCGAATATGTCTATTCTTAACCATGGTTTTCCACTCAAGGTGGCCAAAGTCTTCCCCAAACCAAAAGTTACTTTAGTAAAAGTGCCAGTCTCAAGAAAAATGAGAATTTCAGCATCATCAGTGTGCTTCCAGCAGGATGGCTGTGTCTGCAGGGGAGAGGGGAGAGGGGCCAGGGCCCACAGAGCAGGAAGTGTGATTCGTGATTCCAGTGACTGATGTTCAGAGTCAGGGAGGGGCTAGGGTGACGTCAAAGGGTCTGATTCAGCTGCTAGAACAAGGCTAAATTCAGCCCATCAGGCTTGGGAATTGGGTGAAGTAGGGGCTTGTGGGGACCTGGGTTTGAATCTGGGCCACACTATTTACTCATGGGGTCCTAAGCATCTATTTGCTTGGACCCTGATGTCTCACAGGGTCCTGGGTCTGGAGATATGAGGTTCACAGGTGGTGGGATGGGGCTCAGCGTGGAAGTGATCTCTGAGCTGCCACGCACATTCCAGGGAGGGACAGTCTTGTGTATGACGAGGTGGGGAATCAGTCAATGGGGATCAGTGTTGGGATGGGTGAGGGGTGGAGCTGGGTTTGTAGATGGTAGGACCACAGGGACCAGGACTGGACTTGGGTTGGGAAGTGTTGGAGATGGGTCTGAAGTTGGTCTGGGGTTGGGATTGGTGTGGGCATTAGGTTTGTGGAGGTACCTGGGATTACATTTGGGGTATACGGTTGGTGAGAGTTGGGGTTTGCCGTTGGAGTATAGGGGTAAGATGTGGTTGTAACTTCTTGTTTAGAAAAATATCCGGTCAGATGGGCTTTAGCTTTGGGGTTGGGATTGGAGCCAGCTCTAGCTAGGGTTTGGTTTCCATGTTAAGGTGAAGGTTAGGTAACCCTCTGGTCCAACCCTCTCTTCCTTCCCTCCCCATCCCAGCCCCTTTCCGCCCAGCCGACACGGACAACGAGGTGCGCTTTGATCGCTTTGGGGATGGTATTGGTCGCTACAACATCTTCACATACCTCCGGGCCAGCGGCGGGCGCTATCGCTACCAGAAAGTGGGCTACTGGGCAGAAGGCCTGACCCTGGACACCAGCCTCATCCCCTGGGCCTCGCGCTCGGCCAGGCCCCTGCCCGCCTCGCGCTGCAGTGAGCCCTGCCTGCAGAACGAGGTGAAGAGCGTGCAGCCGGGCGAGGTGTGCTGCTGGCTCTGCATCCCGTGCCAGCCCTACGAGTACCGGCTGGACGAGTTCACCTGCGCCGACTGCGGCCTGGGCTACTGGCCCAACGCCAGCCTGACGGGCTGCTTCGAGCTGCCCCAGGAGTACATCCGCTGGGGCGACGCCTGGGCCGTGGGCCCTGTCACCATCGCCTGCCTGGGTGCCCTGGCCACGCTGTTTGTGCTGGGTGTCTTCGTGCGGCACAACGCGACGCCAGTGGTCAAGGCCTCCGGGCGGGAGCTCTGCTACATCCTGCTGGGCGGTGTCTTCCTCTGCTACTGCATGACCTTCATCTTCATCGCCAAGCCGTCCACGGCGGTGTGCACCCTCCGGCGCCTCGGGCTGGGCACTGCCTTCTCCGTCTGCTACTCCGCCCTGCTCACCAAGACCAACCGCATCGCACGCATCTTCGGTGGGGCCCGTGAGGGCGCCCAGCGGCCGCGCTTCATCAGTCCCGCCTCGCAGGTGGCCATCTGCCTGGCACTTATCTCGGGCCAGCTGCTCATCGTGGCCGCCTGGCTGGTGGTGGAGGCACCGGGCACGGGCAAGGAGACAGCCCCCGAGCGTCGGGAGGTGGTGACCTTACGCTGCAACCACCGGGACGCCAGCATGCTGGGCTCGCTGGCCTACAACGTGCTCCTCATCGCGCTCTGCACGCTCTACGCGTTCAAGACCCGCAAGTGCCCCGAGAACTTCAATGAGGCCAAGTTCATTGGCTTCACCATGTACACGACCTGCATCATCTGGCTGGCCTTCCTGCCTATCTTCTACGTCACCTCCAGTGACTACCGGGTGAGCCCCCTGGGGGGTGGAAGAGGCGGGACGCTGCCCCTCTGCTTTCTGGTATCCCTTTTCATCTTCAGGTCACACTGAGGCTACCAGACGTTACAAGCTTACCCAGGAGCACACAGCTTGTGCAGACCCTTGGGGAAGGCAGGAGGACTGAGGGGGGTCTGGGGAAACGGCCAGGGAAGGAGTTCTTGAGTTAGAACTGAGAAGAGATCTTGGGAACCTGGGAGGAGGTGGGGTGCAGAAATAGGTCCGGGTGAGCAGGGCTCTGTCCTCCCATGGAGGGGGCAGCAGTGGGAATGGAGAGGCGAGGCTTCCTGAAGGCGGACAAAAGTGGGAAGGAGCGGCAAGTGGGGTCTGGTGAGGGCCAGCACACAGGCCGAGAGGCTGCAGCAGGAGGAGCTGGCCCTGGCTGGGGCTTCCAAGCAAATGTGGATCTAAGGGGTACTGAGTGTCTCTGCAGATGTCGCTCCATAGGGCAATGGCTACTTCAGGTGGGGTGGCCAAGGCAGGGGTCCTTCAGGAGGTCTGAGCTCCGAATGATCAGAGGGTTGCCGTGGTTGAGCCTCACGATTTGGAGGAAGCCCCAGGGCTCTGACTCTGCAGAGGAAGAACTAGACTCAGGGAGGTTCAGTCCCTGGGGAGCAGGCAAATTCAAAGCCAAAGCCCGGCCAAGGCCCTGTTCCCAAGACGGAGGGCTGGGGGTGCAGCGCTGGGGCCCTGACCGCTGTGCTGCCTGCTCTGCTGGCACCTGCTGGACCACCTGCTCCGTGGTGGCCGCCAGGGAGGAGGAGGGAGTGGGCTCTGACTCAGCCTGCATTTGCATATGATTTGCATTTGCGTGTCAGTCACAGGCAGCTAAGCGTTCATCTGAGACACACAACACACATACAGTACCCACACAAGCATGAACATGCACGTACCTGCACCCTGAAGACACACACATGCACGTATCCCCATATGCACACACGTGTGCACAGCCCCAGCACACCTGCCTCACACTCCTCTCCCCACCTACACAGCCATCTATGCCCATGTATTCCACACTCACACACACCCTGCACACACCACTCCACATACACACACTCCATGTGTGCACCACCCCCCACCATGAGTGCACATACCCCTGCAGGTTCACCTGGACTAGTCCCCCTGGACAGCTGGACTGGTCGCCCTGGACAACAGTCCACTGAAGCCGGGGCGGGGCTGCATCCAAGCTTGCTGGAAATCCTTTGGGGCTGGGCGTACAGACCAAGGCCCGGTTCTGGACGTGGCCTGCCTCCCTCCCGCCCTCCCAGCCTGGGCAGGAGGTCCTGCAGGCCTTTGGGAAGGCTCACCCTCGCCCTTTGCCACCTCCCACAGGTGCAGACCACCACCATGTGCGTGTCGGTCAGCCTCAGCGGCTCCGTGGTTCTCGGCTGCCTGTTCGCGCCCAAGCTGCACATCATCCTCTTCCAGCCGCAGAAGAACGTGGTCAGCCACCGGGTGCCCACCAGCCGCTTTGGCAGCGCTGCCGCCAGGGCTGGCTCCAGCGTCGGCCAAGGTCAGCGTCCTGAGCACCCTTTTCCCGGGGCCCGCTCTCCTCACCCCAGCTTCTCAGGCATGGGGCCAGTTATCGGGGTGGGTGCCTCCAGGTGACACTGGACAGGAGAGGGGAAGGGGAGGTGCTTCCCTCGCAGCCCCACTTCCCCTGCTGCCTGCCCTCCGTGGGAGACCTGGGTGGGCCCCAACCTCTGGCTGCCACTCCCTAGGGTCTAGCTCCCAGTTTGTCCCCACCGTCTGCAATGGCCGTGAGGTGGTAGACTCAACGACATCATCGCTTTGAAGACCAGCTTCCTGCCCTGACACAGCTGCTTCTGGAACCAGTGCAGACCCACGTCCAGGGCAGGAGGAGGCTGTCTGGAGCACTGCAATAACACCCACCCGTGCCCACCCCGAGCGCTTACCCCTGCCACCCCAGGCTTCCAAGTCAGAACGTCCCTGGCCGGGGGCCTCTCCAATGGTCACCTACTGCCCTTGCAGCTGGGCTTCTTACCAGCCCACATCTCAGAGGGGAGCGAGCCAGAGTCCACCCTGCCCTGGAGCGGGATGGCTGAGATGGGCAGGCCCCAGTCCCGTCAGCAAAGGTGCTCCCAGCCCAGCCCCTCCTCCTCCTCGGGCCTTTTTTATTTTTTATATGAGTTACTCTGGGATGGGGAGGGTGGTGATGGTGGGACCGTTCCTCCCCCTGTACAGTAGTTTGTCCTGTGGTTTATTTTGTATTATCTGTAAATAAAGTGTCTTTATTAAAAAAAGAAAAAAAAAAAAGGAGAGAGAGAGACAAAACAAACAAACAACACATTCTATGGGCCAGCATTTGCATGGTGGTTAAGGCACTGGATCCACATAGCCGGTTGTGCAGTTCAGTTCCCCGACCCAACAACTTGAAAATTTATGCCAGGCGTGCTTGCCCAAAATCCCAAGAGGAGAATGGAGGAAGAGGGATTTCAGCGTGGCCATCCCCCCGGGGGAGTAATTTCTCACTTTCCCCCTCTCTTTTGTTCATCTCTCTCCAGTGAGCACATGTGCCCTATAGCAAAAACTTCAACAAAAAAATCTCTTTGCCCTTGACCCAGGGAGCCCCCATACCCGCACAGCCTCCCAACCTCCCTTCTTCGCAGGTCTGTGGACTCTGCTCTGGGCCGGATGCTGGGACCTGGGCCATCCAGACAGACCCAGCCCAGCAGGGGTGTGGGGAGGCGGGTGAAAAATGGACAAGCCATCCTTCCTTAAATGGAGCCACCGCGGACTGGCCAGCACCTCTGGGGAAGGCAGGAGACTTAATGGATGCAGATCAATGGACAGGCTCCCTGGGAGCAGGCCGGCAGGATGGTGTGGGTGATGGGGCCGTGACCCCTGGGGATGGTGGGCTTTCATAGCCGGCCTGGCTGCATTTGGGGGCGTCACTGGTTAGTGCACGGCAGAGAAGGGAAGACCTGGGGCCACACTTCGCCTGTTTCCAAGGCTCACGCAAAGCCAAACGAGCCTCTCTTTCTCTCTCTCGCACACGCGCGCGCATGTATGTGTGTTGTGCAGGGGTGGTGCAGCTGAGAGGCCATCTGCAGTCGGGCTAGGAGACACCGGCCCTTTCTCCAGTTCCTGGAGGAGTTTGCCGGGACAATTGTGGAGCACAACGACCCCCAGGATATCTCTGCATGTGCTGTCCGAGGCTCACCAGCAGAGGGCGCCAAGGACACGACCCAGGCCAGGCCACGGCTGCCCTCGTGTGCGGTCTAAAGGGCAGGGGGCTCCGAATCGAAATCCGCCTCCGGGGAGACCTCAGAGTGGGCCGCTCAGAGGGACAGGGTCCTGCCTTAGGACCTGGGTAGGGCAGGCCAGGGACATCTGGCATTTTTATATGAACCTGTTTACACTCACAGGCTGTCCAGACCACGAAAATTTGAGTAATGATTTTAAAAAGTGGAAACAGGGCCAGCAGTTGGCATGGTGGTTGAGACGCTGGACACTCCCACTTGGTGGACCTTGGTTCGAGTCCCAGATCTGGTGGCTTGCTTTCTCCCTCCCCACCCCCGCCCCCCAATCTCTCTGTCTCTCTGGTCAAGTTAAAATGAATGAATAAAAAAATTTTTTTTTTTTTTTTAAAAAGTGGAAACAGAAACATGAAAAAAGAAATTTGCAGGAATGGCTTCTCTTCTCCAGCCCAGCCCTGGGACGTAGGCATGACAAAATATTGAACGCTCAGGTTAAGTCCAATGTCACAAAAGAACACTTCTTTAGTATAAGTACATCCCACACAATATATGGGACATACTTACACTAAATGTTTTTTATTGTTTATCTGACATTTAAATTTAACAGGGTTTGAGAAGAGAATGGAGAAGGGATTGTGGCATGGCCGTCACCCCGGGGAGGGGAGGGTGATTTCTCACTTTCTGTCTCTGTCTCTCCGGTGAGCACAGGCACCCTATAGCAAAGATCTCTCAAAAATAAACAAAAATAAATTTAACTGAGTTTTACTCGCTAACTTGGGCAACCCTTGAAGTGGTCTCTGTTGGTCCCAAGTAACCCAGGCCTGAGTGCAGTCTCAGTGGCCAGACTCCAGGAGCACCCATGGGACCTGCACCCACGCAGCCAGGAACTGGGCAAGGAATTCCTGCCCCCTCCCTCCCTTCCCCTGCACTGCAGAAGTGGCCTCCTGATTCGTGTCCTGTTCCCTCAGCAGCTCTGACCCTCCATCCATGGCCCCCACCCACATTGCGTGACCCTTCGCCCAACTCTCACTGTACAGCGTTGTGGGCAGGGTTCTGGCCTCAACTCTTAAAAGTTTTTTAAGTTTATTTTACTCGCAGTGGAGGGTCAGTCCATGTGTACAGGAAAGGTGAGGGGCGGGGAGGAGAGGAAGCCAGGCACCCCCAGCAAGACTGGGCCAACCTGGACTGCCTTCCCCCAGGGCCCCGCTTGTCAGGATTCCGAGCCTGTGCACATCATCTATCAGGGCGGGGATCCGAACCACGCTTGGCCACCTGCTCCAGCACAGTATGCTGCTGACTGCCTCCCAGGCCGGGCCCACTCCTCAGCTCGGAAACCCACCACGTGCTCCTGAGACCAGGAGCCACCAGCTCCCCCACCCCAGCCCCCTCCCAGTCCTGAAGCGGGGACTGCCTTGAAATCTCCCCACTTTGGTATCGTGAACTGTGTTCCTTACCGCCCTGACGCCTTTGTCCGGATAAGGAATAGGGGCACCGGGGCCCTTGCTGTGTCTGCTTCTGTTAGACCTGGAGTCCTCAAAGGAGAGCCCTGCCCTCTGGGCACTGAGGACCAGAGGTGTGCCCTCCTGCCCTCCGGAGTGTCGAGCGTGGCGTCCACTGTCACTACCAGGTGGCTTTCCTTGGGCAGCCAGCGTTGGCCCTGGGATGTGGGTGTTTCTCCGTGGCTTACTTCAAAGGCCCTCCCAGCCCCACTCCCATCCTTCTACTGTCCTTTGCTTGGTCCAGTGAAAAATGGCTCTCTTAGGCGAGTCCCTGCGGCTCATGTGAGTGCGGGACAGGCCACTCTGCCCTAAGTCCCGTAGTCCTGGCACGGGGTTGGGGGAGGGGGAGGACCGTCACCTCACAGGGCAGCCTTGACAGGGTCGCCTTCCGACAGCCGAGTCCTGTCTAAGAGCAGAACGTCAAAAGCCCAGAAGAAAGTGACGATGTACCTGGCCAAGGTGCTGGGGACCCAAAGTGGAGCTGGAGGCTGGCCGAGAAGCTGGGGGTCAGATTGGAGCTCTTCCACCCCAGAACCCGTCAGGCAGCACTGCCCAGATCTGCACGTGGGGGGCCTTCCTTCCACATCACCTGCCCCGCCTCCTCTCCTAGTGCAAGAGTCCTGGGAGGAGGGGGGAAGGGAGGGGTTACTGAGGCCTCAAGACTCTCTGACATGTCCCCACCCCAAGTTCTACCAGAAGAGGAGAAGCCAGGCCAGCAGGTGGCGTGGTGGCGAAGGTGACTGGATCCCCCACGGCTGATGGTGCTGTCCGAGACCCAGACCCAGTGGCTTGAAAAACTCCGTGTGCGTGTGCATGCGTGCCCAAATCCCAAGAGGAGAATGGAGGAGATGAGATTGCGGCGTGGCCACCCTCCAGGGGGTGCTTTCTCACTTTTCCTTTCTCTCTCTCTTCAAGGAGCACATGCACCATATAGCAATTTTTTAAAAGAATTATTTTATTGAACTTTATTTACTTTAATTTGATCAGAAAGGGACAGAGAGAGAGGGAAAGTGAGAAAGCAAGGGACGTGAACCACAGTCAGCCACGTGGCAATCTAGTGCCCGTGACCACCACGCCACCTGGTGGCCCTCTATAGCAATTTTATTTTAAAGGAAAAGAGCCCCCTACTCCTACTGGTAAGGGTCGAGGTGGGGTTAAGCACCAAGAGCTGGGGCGGATGGGGAGAATCGATGTGGGAAAAGCAGGGGAAAGAGAACGGAGGGGTGGGGTGAAAGGGTGGGAAGTGGAGGAGACCGAAAGGAACAAGAGGTGGAAGTGAAATCTGAAAGCTTTACACACCAAGGTTCTTGCCAAAGAAAAACCGCTTTCTCCTCTCTGTGAAAACAGTATAAGCTCTCTACGTGCTGCTTAGGCATTGCAGAAAAGTACAAAAAGAAAAGGAATGTATTGCTTCAAGTTGCATCATTCAAATATAACCATCATTAACATTCCTGGTACAGCAGCCCAGACATATTTCTATGCGTTTTTACAGGGAGCAGGAGAGATAGAAATACTTTCATAAAAATGGGATCATACCATATGTCTATTTCTTTAGTGAAGATTTAATTTTATTTGACTCTAATTGAAGAAAATGAATCTGAAATAAAACTGAAGAAATTCTTGAACTTTACATACATTCCTTCACCACAAACAATATTTCCCCCTGGAAAAAATCCCTCTAAGTTGGAGTGACATTTATTTTTCTTCTTCTTCTTTATTTTTTTGTTAATTGCCAGAGGGCACATGCACTTGCCAGAGAGAGACAGAGACAGAGAAAAAGGGAGAAAACACCGCAGTGGGACATGGTCATGCCACAATCCCCTCTCCATTTCTCCATCCTGGGGCGGCGGGGGGGGGGGTGTGGGGAATATACCTATCATGTTTTTCTTTTTCTTTATTTTTAAATTTGCTATAGGGTGTGTGCACTTACCAGAGACAGAGATAAAGAGAGAGAAAAAGAGAGAAATCATGCCCTGGCAAGTGATGATCATGCCACAATCCCTTCTCCTTCATTCCCTCTTGGGATTTGGGGAACACATGCATATGCTCAGTGGGATTTTTATACGTTGCTCAGTTCGGGACTTGAACTGTGCTGTTGACCATGTGGGATCTGGTTGCCTAACTACCATGCCACCTTACCACCCCCCCCCCAGCATGTTTTATTTTAGAATTATTTTTATTTAACTTTATTTATTATTATTATTGTTATTATTTTCCAGTTTGATCAGAGAGAGACAGAGAGAGAGAGAGGAAGTGAGAAAGCAAGCCACCAGGTCCGAGACTTGAACCGTGATCAGCCATGTGGGAGTCCAGTGCCTTTAACCACCATGCCACTTGCCGGCCCTGCCCCCAGCATGTTTTTCTTTTCTTTTCTCTCTCTCTTTTTTTTTTTTTTTTTTTAAGAATTATAAATTTAACTTTTTTCTATTTTAAATTTGCTATAAGGCATGCACACTCACCAGAGAGAGAAGGAGAGAGAAAAAGAAAGCAAGCTGTCAGGTTTGAGACTCGAACCACAGTCAGCCATGTGAGAGTCCAACAACCTTAATCACCACAC